TCAGAGATCAAAAGAGACAAAGAAGGCCATTACATAATGGTAAAGGGACTATTCACAATAGCAAAGATTGGAATCAACCCAAATGTCCATCAGTGACAGACTGGATTAAGAAAATGTGGCACATATACACCATGGAATACTATGCACCCATAAAAAAAGATGAGTTTGGGTCCTTTGTAGGGACATGGATGCAGCTGGAAACCATCATTCTTAGCAAACTATCACAAGAACAGAAAACCAAACAGCGCATGTTCTCACTCATAGGTGGGAACTGAACAATGAGATCACTTGGACTCGGGAAGGGGAACATCACACATCAGGGCCTATCATGGGGAGGGGGGAGGGGGGAGGGATTGCATTGGGAGTTATATCTGATGTAAATGACGAGTTGATGGGTGCTGACGAGTTGATGGGTGCAGCACACCAACATGGCACAAGTATACATATGTAACAAACCTGCACGTTATGCACATGTACCCTAGAACTTAAAGTATAATAATAATAAAAAAAAATGGTAAAGGGATCAGTTCAACAGAAAGAGCTAACTATCCTAAATATATATGCACCCAATACATGAGCACCCAGATTCATAAAGCAAGTCCTTAGAGACTTACAAAGAGACTTAGACTCCCACATAATAATAATGGGAGACTTCAACACTCCGCTATCAACATTAAACAGAACAATGAGACAGAAAGTTAACAAGGATATCCAGGAATTGAACTCATCTTTGCACCAAATGAACCTAATAGACATCTACAGAACTCTCCACCCCAAATCAACAGAATATACATTCTTCTCAGCACCACATCACACTTATTCTAAAATTGACCACGTAATTGGAAGTAAAGCACTCCTCAGCAAATGTAAAAGAACAGAAATTATAACAAACTTTCTCTCAGACCACAGGGCAATCAAACTTGAACTCAGGACTAAGAAACTCAATCAAAACTGCTCAACTACATGGAAACTGAACATCCTGCTCCTGAATGACTACTGGGTACATAACTAAATGAAGGTAGAAATAAAGATGTTCTTTGAAACCAATGAGAACAAAGATACAACATACCAGAATCTCTGGGACACATTTAAAGCAGTGTTTAGAGAGAAATTTATAGCACTAAATGCCCACAAGAGAAAGCAGGAAAGATCTAAAATTGACACTCTAACATCACAATTAAAAGAACTAGAGAAGCAAGAGCAAACACATTCAAAAGCTAGCAGAAGGCAAGAAATAACTAAGATCAGAGCAGAACTGAAGGAGACAGAGACACAAAAAACCCTCCAAAAAATTAATGAACCCAGGAGTTGGTTTTTTGAAAAGATCAACAAAATTGATAGACCACTAGCAAGACTAATAAAGAAGAAAAGAGAGAAGAATCAAATAGACACAATAAAAAATGATAAAGGGGATATCAACACCAACCCCACAGAAATACAAACTACCATAGAGAATACTATAAACACCTCTATGCAAATAAACTAGAAAATCTAGAAGAAATGGATAATTTCCTGGACACTTACACTCTCCCAAGACTAAACCTGGAAGAAGTTGAATCCCTGAATGGTCCAATAGCAGGTTCTGAAATTGAGGCAATAATTAATACCTTACCAACCAAAAACAGTCCAGGACCAGATGGATTCACAGCCAAATTCTACCAGAGGTACAAGGAGGAGCTAGTACGATTCCTTCTGAAACTATTCCAATCAACAGAAAAAGAGGGAATCCTCTCTAGCTCATTTTATGAGGCCAACATCACCATGATACCAAACTTGGCAGAGATACCCACAAAAAAGAGAATTTTAGACCAATATCCCTGATGAACAGCAATGCAAAAATCCTCAATAAAATACTGGCAAACCGGATTCAGCAGCACATCAAAAAGCTTATCCACCATGATCAAGTGGGCTTCATCCCTGGGATGCAAGGCTGGTTCAACATTCGCAAATCAATAAACGTAATCCAGCATATAAACAGAACCAAAGACAAGAACCACATGATTATCTCAATAGATGCAAAAAAGGCCTTTGACAAAATTCAACAGCCCTTCATGCTAAAAACTCTCAATAAATTCAGTATTGATGGAACGTATCTCAAAATAATAAGAGCTATTTATGACAAACCCACAGCCAATATCATACTGAATGGGCAAAAACTAGAAAAATTCCCTTTGAAAACTGGCACAAGACAGGGATGCCCTCTCTCACCACTCCTATTCAACATAGTGTTGGAAGTTCTGGCTAGGGCAATCAGGCAAGGGAAAGAAATCAAGGGTATTCAGTTAGGAAAAGAAGAAGTCAAATTATCCCTGTTTGCAGATGACATGATTGTATATTTAGAAAACCCCATTATCTCAGCCCAAAATCTCCTTAAGCTGATAAGAAACTTCAGCAAAGTCTCAGGATACAAAATCAATGTGCAAAAATCACAAGCATTCTTATACACCAGTAACAAACAGAGAGCCAAATCATGAATGAACTTCCATTCACAATTGCCTCAAAGAGAATAAAATACCTAGGAATTCAACTTACAAGGGACGTAAAGGACTTCTTCAAGGAGAACTACAAAACACTGCTCAGTGAAATAAAAGAGGACACAAACAAATGGAAGAACATACCATGCTCATGGATAGGAAGAATCAATATCATGAAAATCGCCATACTGCCCAAGGTAATTTATAGATTCAATGCCATCCCCATCAAACTACCAATGAGTTTCTTCACAGAATTGGAAAAAACTGCTTTAAAGTTCATATGGAACCGAAAAAGAGCCCGCATCTCCAAGACAATCCTAAGTCAAAAGAACAAAGGCTGGAGACATCACGCTACCTGACTTCAAACTATACTACAAGGCTCCAGTAACCAAAACAGCATGGTACTGGTACCAAAACAGAGATATAGACCAATGGAACCGAACAGAGTCCTCAGAAATAATACCACACATCTACAGCCATCTGATCTTGACAAACTTGACAAAAACAAGAAATGGGGAAAGGATTCCCTCTTTAATAAATGGTGCTGGGAAAATTGGCTAGCCATAAGTAGAAAGCTGAAACTGGATCCCTTCCTTACTCCTTATACAAAAATTAATTCAAGATGGATTAGAGACTTAAATGTTAGACCTAATACCATAAAAACCCTAGAAGAAAACCTAGGTAATACCATTCAGGGCATAGGCATGGGCAAGGACTTCATGTCTAAAACACCAAAAGCAATGGCAGCAAAAGCCAAAATTGACAAATGGGATCTAATTAAACTAAAGAGCTTCTGCACAGCAAAAGAAACTACCATCAGAGTGAACAGGCAACCTACAGAATGAGAGAAAATTTTTGCAATCTCCTTATCTGACAAAGGGCTAATATCTAGAACCTACAAAGAAAACAACTATGCAGCTATGTAATATTTTCCTTCTTCTAATTCTAGAAAGTTACGAATCTAACTTTAAAAACTAGTTCTAACCTATATTTGTTCTTTTTTCAAACAAATTTTCTGAAATCTTTGTGTTCACATAAAGAAATATCAATCATAATGTAGATCACATGATATTTTTCCTTATTCTCTTGCCAGTCCAATTTTCTCATGGCATAATGTGAGTACCACTTTCTTTGTGTGTGTATTTAAGGTTCTGTGCTGAAAAGTTGATAACATAGAACATACATTAAAATGTAAATTTTCTGAAGGGTGAGAATAGAAAGTTACTTTAAGGAAAAATCCATTGAAGTGAAAAAACTGATTGAACTTTTATAAAGGACAGAGTTTAAGAATTAGAAATAAATGCATTCATTGCAAAATATGACTTAAATTCTCTAACCTTTGTAGCACTAAGACAAAAAATCATAGACCAAAGTTATTTGTAATTTTTTCTACGATTAACTAAACGGCACTACACATATATAGTCTGTATTATCTAAACCTAAAATAACTCAGTATTTTATATTATTTAGTGATTGTGTTTTTCTATTTAAGCAATTCTCATATTAGGTATAGTCTCTAAAAGTATCAAAGGGCACAATTCTGTGAGTGATACATCATTTTCAGGATAATTTCTCTTCTTAAAATTCAACATTATAAATAATATTTGACTTATTTTAAATGCAGCAGGAGTGGTAGAAAATACCACTAGAGCACGAGAAGGTACATTGCAAAATTTATGAATTCAATTCAGATTTATTAATTGGTTTCCAAAATAAACTGTAAATAGGAAATGACTAGAGTTTGGTTAATTGATAGGTACATCAGTTGGCTATTGTTTGTTTAATAGATGGTATGTCAATTATTTTTGTACACACATTTAATGAAAGATATAAACACATACTCATAATGAAGGGTGTATTTATGCCTCATTAATTTGACATGTTCCATATCTTTAGAAAAATCTCAAGTAGTCTTCATATCTGTTTTTGGCTCTAAGTCTCCTCTGCCATCCCTATGGAACTTTTAGCCTACACACTGCAGTTGTTTTCAGAAAATAAAGGCATCATTAACTTCTCAGGGTTATGGTAGTGACTTAAGGCAAACAGACCCAAGACTCATCTTGTAATACCTAACCAAGCAGTTATAGTTCATAAGCAGTCACGTAACTGGTGACATTTTAAATCTCCAGTCTTTGACTTTGTCATTGGTTGACTTTTGTCTTCAGGAAATGTTCTACATTTCTTGGAATACAATAAAAATGCCTAAGTCAGTTTGGTTGTTGTCAAGTTATTCAGCTTTTTCTCACCTCTTACTAGTACTCTGCCTCTTTGCTCTAGCATTCAGCCAGACTACATAGAATTTCACAGTGATCTTCCTCAGCTCCAGCTCTTGGCATTTGCTCCTCCCCTCTATCTGACATATGTTTTTGTTGTCCTTCTGGTATCAACTTGCGTATCTCCTCCAAAAAGTTTACAATATTGACCGAAAACTGGAATGTCCCATCTGTGTGTTCCAGTAGAGCCCTGTTTTAAATCTGTCATGATATCTATTTACCTGTATGAAATAATTGCCTGTTTGTTTTTCAGATTATATAATACTATAACATTGCCAAGGAGTGGATTATCTCATCTTCATCCTGTAATTCCAGTGTTTGTCACACGGTTGTTGAATAAATGAATAAAGAATGAGAATGCCAGAAGCTCTGATACATAACCGTAATGATAATTATTTCAATGCACAACTATGGGTGAGTTATATTTAACAACACTTTTGTATCATAGTCATATATACATTTTTTTTTTTTTTATTCTCGCTAACACAGAGCAGGTTCTCAACTCTTTTTTCCTGAATTCCACTTAGTTTACCATAAAATCTTTTAGGTAAAGAGTATAAATATTTTTCTTTCCAGGTGCTGCTGAACTAGAATTTGTATTTTCTGCAACTGGCTCCTCTAGGATCTACTAATGATTTACATCTAAAAGATGAAGTTAGTAAAGCATCAGAAATAATAGGTACTAACTTTTATTTAAAAAGTATATAATACAAAAAATTATAATATTTTATTACTGGAATGCTTACTGGAAAATTTAATGATTTTCCATTTAATATAAAATATACAAAAATTTTTCTAAAAAAGGATAATTTTTTATATCCTATGTGTCTGATGAAAATGTATATGGCATTTTAAATCATGTTTCTAAGCTTCTTTAACAAACTTTTTAGTTGATCTTACAAATAAAAACCTGTATTATTGAGTTTTACATACTCCAGTGATTCAATAGGCAGCTGTTTAAACAAGAAAAACTACCAAATTGTCATTAGTGCATTGTATCTTGTAATTTTTATTACAATTACAGTGATAGATAAATTTCAACAGACATCGTTTTAGCGTGTTAGTACTGTGGTCATTGTCAATGGTTGCGTGTAATACAACTGACACCATACCATCAAATTTATGTAATTTTAAGTACTGATTTATATAGATCTTTCCTCATGAAAAAATAAGGATTTCCTAAGACTTTTCACCTTTTATGTCATTTACTTATTTATTTTTTGGTTAGCGTTTGGAAACAGTCCTAAAATTAAAGTTTCAATGTTTACTACAAAGAACTATCATTCTCTGAACCATTTGAGAGTAAATTGCTGACACTCTACCGTGATTTCTGATTTCCTTAGTGGGTATTCCTACAAGTCAGAACATTCTACGTGACTACAATATAATCTTCACAGAAATTTAACATTAATACATTTTGAGATTCTCAGATTTTTTGTAAGTTTTGTTACTTTCTATAATATTCCTTGTTGCAAAAGATTCCATTCAGATCCATTGATTATATTTAGTTTCTGTATCACTCAGACTTTCAATCGGAACAGTTTCTCAGTCTTTCTTTGATATTTATAACCTTGAATCTTTAGAAGATAAAGTTCAGTAATCCAGAATGTTCTTCAATTGAGTTTTTGTAATGTTTCCTTGTAATTAGTTTTATATCATACTTTTTGAACATGGCTATCACAGAAATGCTCCTGTGATCTTATTGCACCCTATCATTTGACCACAATTTTGATTTGTCCTGTTACTGGTGATGTTAGATTTTATTACTAATGGTGGTATCTGCTGAATATCTCCTCTGTCATGTTATTTTTTCACCTTTTAATGAATTAGTATTTTGTAGGGAGTTCATCTGAGACTATGTAAATATCTGTTTCTCATCAAACCTTCAAGTTAATCATTTACTTGTATCAGTATGGATTCATAGTTCATTCTATTTAATAGGTTATAACTTGATAATATTTGTCAAAGCTTTTTCTTTTGAGAAATGTTCATCTTTTTCATATAAAAAAGTCATGGCTTTACATCATTGGAGCACTTCTGGCATCAATAGTGGTACTTCATATGTCTCGAGGTTCATGGTATTGCAAAAAAAAAAAAGATAGAAAACATACAAGAACCATGAGAAATCACCTTTTACTGTACAACACATTTTCCTAGGTAAACGAATTGCTCCTGTGGAGATGATTATCATCACATGGTGTTTTGAGCTGATACTCCCAACACTTGAGCTCACTGCAATAGTACCAAGTGGGCATAAACTTACTGTAGTAGTGCAATACATACTAAAGTTAACTTTGTGCAGTTATAATTTAATGCTGCATTTTTACCTTTTTTACATTTCTCTTAGCTGAAGCTGGCATCATGTTCTTTGTATGCATACATTTTGATAAATTTTCACTTTTTATAATTGATTTTGTGTATTTCATGGTAGCAATGATAAAATAGACTAGTATCTGTATATATATATTTTTGTTTGCTATTTTTAGGTTATTTGGTTCATCTACAGGTTTATTCAAATTGCCATTAATACCACATTTTTTAATATTTCTTGAAAAATATCTGCTGACAAGAGCACCCATGCAGTTCACACCATGTCGTTCAAGAATCAACTGCATTTGTAACTCCCATCTCTGACAGTAACCTGGCTCCCTTCATGCTTAGTATATAGTAAGTCCTTACTTAACATGGTCAATAGGTCTTGGAAATGAGCTCAAGTGAAAGACGTGTAATAAAACCACTTTTACCATCAGCTAACTGATACAAATAAGAGTGATGTTCCTATGATATGTTTCTGGTCACAGAAACATCACTGGACTTCTAAGTAAAGACCCAAAACACTTGTAACAAACATTGAACATTGAAATCAATGTGAGCTTTACATATATTTTTTAAAGATTAATAAAAATAAGTAAGATATTGTTTACTCGATTTCTGGCGAATCACTGAGTGATAGCAGTTGGTAGGTTACATCAAAGAATCAATGTCAGCAGATTGCAGATTGTAAGGAGTACCACTTACCATTATGCAGTTCAAAAACAGCCACAAGTATGTCATCCTCATAGAGCGCTTTTGTATGACATCATTGTCAACCACAGCATTTGCGTGAGTATCATAGTTCTCACAGACCTTTGTTTTATGGTAATATGCATTCGTTCACTTGATCCTTTTCCAACTTGCTTATTCCAGTTCAGGTTTGCAGATGGCAGGAGCCTCTCCTGGCAGTTTTGGGTGCTAGGACGGAAACCTATTACTATAGAGCTTCTTTGTCAATGCTGGTCAATGATCCAACCTAAATTATAAGTATTTGAAAAGGATTAATTGTCCTACATTAAACTTGTAAGCAATGTTATGTACATTGTGACATTGCAGGGCCACTAACACACACAACCAGTTAGTCAGACTGGCACCATGCAGACACATCTGTTAATGTCATGTATAGAGCTTTGGGATGTAGGACAAAAACAGTCCCTAAAGAAACCCCATACAGACATAACGAGAACATTTAAATTCCAGATGGAAAGGGGCCTCAGATGAGATTTGTTTTTCATCAATGTTATAATGAAATGACATTATTCAAGGACCTGCTGTACTCACTTATTTGTTCAATACCCTTCTGTGTGACCAGTCTCTTGTGTCCCTGCCTTTAGGCGAGTACACTTCTCACTCCCTCTGGGACTCCAGGATCCTTCATCAGGTTGCCTCTGCTGCTTTCCCTCTGTCTTCACTCCATTCTTTCTCAGACATTTTGTGCCAAGCTGCCCTTTTAGGCAGAAAATTTTTCCTGCTCAGGCGCTGAAAACCCATGCTAGACTGTACTTCTCCATCCCTGCGTGGATGCCTCCTGACTATTCAGTTTTTGATATTTTATTCTATTTCACCTTCCATTCAGGGGTGCTCTCACTTGATTCTTAACAATGTACAGGGTGGTGCTCCCACACTAAGGTCTTTCTCATTGTCTGCAGGCCCCAACTCCTTACTCTGGACAACCACAACTTTCTGTTTTATCTCCATGCTCATGAATTAAAATGCTCAGAAAAAGAAGAGAGGAAAAATGCCATATACATTTTATAATCAGCACACAAAGCTCTGCAGAACAAGGATTTTGATTGGAATTGCATTGAGTTAATAATTTGGGAAGAAAAGAGATAATATTTTAATTGCCTTATTAACTTATTAATTTAAAAAATTTCACATAGAGGCCTTGCCTATTTTAATACCTATTCTCGATTATTTTGGTATAGATTATCACATATTTTATTTTTATATATATTTTTCTTCTTGTTACTTGCTTATAGAAACAAAATTGATATTTTATGTATTGAACTTGATTAGTTAAGCTGTCTTGCTAAACTCCTTGTTATTTTATTATCTGCATATTGATCTGTACAGTATTTAGGATTTTCTATATACACATATCATCTGTAAATAGTAACAGTCTTCTTTCCAATTCAAGAGTTTTTATTTCTTTTTCTACTGCAAGAATAATGTTGAATAAATGTGGGTACAGTTGGTATCTATGTCTTGTTGAAATTCTAATGAGAAAACAATACATTTCAATCTCTATGTAGATAGTGGGTTTTTGTTTTCATAATAGATACCTTTTAGTTTACTGTATAAGTTTTTCAGGACTGCATAACAGATGACCACAAACATAACTTCTTAGGACCACAATCATTTATGATATCATGGCTTCTGTGGGTTAGAAGTATGCTCATGTCTTAACTGGGTCCTCTGCTCAGTCTTACCTGGCTGTAATCAAGGTGTCAGCTGGGCTGAATTTTCATTTGGAATCTTGACTGGAAAAGAGTTTGCTTACAAGGTAATTAAGTTTGCTGGCAAAATGTATGCTTCTGTGACTGAGATCCCAAGCTATCTCCTGACTTTTGGCTAGGTAATCTCAGGTCCTAAATGTTGCCTACAGTTCCTAAAGGCTGGGCACAGTTCTTAGCCATGTGAATTTCCTCAACATGGCTGCTTGCTTCATCAAGTCAGCAAGAATAGCCTGTCATCTCAAGTTGTATATCAGGCTCACTCAGGATAATGTCCCTATTGATGAACCAAAAAGTAACTGATTTTAGAGCTTAATAACATCTGCAAAATTCTGTTCACCAGAGGCAAGTCGTACTCAAGGAAAGAGAAGTGTACAAAGTGAGAACACCAAGGGGCAAAAATCATTGGAGCTCCCATTATAATTGTAGTAATAAAATTATCTTCTAATACTAGTTTTCAAAGTTTCATTGTGAATCAAAGTTCAATCTTACAAAGTACTACTTATTTTGCCTCTGCTGAGATGATCACTTAAAAAGCCATTTGTCACTTGTATTAAATTGCATTACTTTATTTACCCTTGTTAATCTAACCTTGTATTTGTCAGCTAAACTGAACTTGATTGTGATAATATTTGTTTTTATTCATTGCTACTTTTGGTATGTTAATATTTTGCTTAGGACTCTTTTTAAATGTCTTTTTAAATATGATGATAATAAAGAGAATTTTCAATGCTTTAATTCCATGTACACCCTGCCATTATCCTTAGCAAACTGTTTCTTCATATTTTAATTTTCTTTTAATTCTTAAAAACACTAGGCATTTTCATAGCTTATGTGTGAGACTGTCAATGTTCAAGCAATTCTCCCACTTCGGCCAGGCTATGTAGTCACAGGCTTATTGTTTCTACGAGCTAACTTTAGTGCCTGTGGTAGATCTGTTTACCAGGCTCTTTTTAGAAATGAGTGGAAGATATAGAAGCATTAGGGATGGTTCCAGAGAAGGATTTTCCTATCTTAGCATTGTCAACATGTTGGATGGGATGATTCTTTGTAAATGGTGTTCCCTTGTACATTGTAGGATGCTTACCAGATCCTCCCCACTAGAGGCCAATAGCACCTCATCATCATAGTCCTCTTCCCTCAGTGATAATAAAAAATGTCTCCAGACATTGCTTAAGTTAATAAATGTGCCCAGAGGCCAGGCACAGTGGCTCACCCCTGTGATTTTAGCTCTTTGGGAGGCCGAGGTGGGTGGATCACTTGAGGCCAAGAGCACATGTACCCTAGAACTCAAAGTATAACAATAAAAAAAAAAAAAAAAAGAAAGTCAAGCTTGAAGGCAGCACACCCACTATGGGCTTGGGCCTCAGAGTGATGCATGTAACAGATTCAGATTGCCCTTTCCACAACTGGAAAACTCACTTTGGACTGTTTTATGGGTGATCAGCAAAAATTACATTGCATTTGAACCATTATAATTTGGGGCTATGTGTTTTGACAAATTATCTATAACTGGTACACTGTACATGGTGACTCTTGAAGAGTTTCAAACTTTTATGTTTCAATTTAGCATTTCATGTAACACAATTTGAATTACAGATTTAAGACACATGAATGTGAAATCATTGTAAATTACAAAGTTATTAATTTATTATCTATACGCATCACTTGGTCTCCTTGAAAATTTTTCTATTAAGATTTACACTCATTTTAAACAAATAGTTTTTGAAAATACATTAAATGCAAGACACGACACCAATGAATAAAACATTATCTAAGGAGAAAAAAAAAAAAAAAAAGAGTTCCTACAGCATTCCTCTGTCAAAAGACAAAATTACAACAACTAAAAATCTAATTGGTTGTTATTAGCCATTCTGGAATTGGTTAACATCTCATTCTATGAAATAGAATGAGTGCTCTTCAAAGAGCTGAGCAGAGGGATTTAGCTTCGTTAGCAGAAAAGGGCTAAAGAAAACAGAAACAGAACAAAAAGCAATTGGTGGTTTCAAAGTGACTTTTCTTAAAGAGGTAAAGCACAGGGGACCCCCTTGTCATCCTGGCTCAGGTAAATTCAGTCCCTTCTGGGGCCCAAGTAAACTGACTGCTGTGATTCTCCTATTAAAGAAAAAATGGTCCTGTTTCAAAGTTTGTTTTGACAATGCATCTCTCAGCATGAGTGACTTTATTCTGGGTTGCTCAGGACTGCTGAGGCCAAGTGCAGGAGCTCAGTCCCCAATAATGGCCTCCTGTAAACTTTGTTCAATGCCTTCATACCAGCTGGCTGATACCCTGGAGTTTTGCAAGGGGTGCTTCTCCCATGGGAATGCTTCCTCACCTACATCCCTGTTATCTTCTCAGATTCTGTCAGTCCAATACCTTGTATGTTAGTAGATACCCTTTGATGCAGGAATCCTTTCTCTTCTTCTTCCCCAGTCTCTCCCCGGTGGGTGGTTTTGCAGAGCCCTGTGTTCTATCTATCTATCTATCTATCTATCTATCTATCTATCTATCTATCTATCTAT